TGTAACTGGGCCCTGTGCTAGGTACTGCAGGCAGCACCAGATAAGTAAGATGAATATAGATGAGTTTGGGACCAGCAAACTGTCATACAATAATATTTATTTAAGCTGTAGGAGCCATAAATTGAAGCATTATCTATAAATAAAATGATGAAAATGATTTGTAACACATAAAGTGCTTTACATATGCAGCCAAATTGATGGCTTTCTTTTTATTGTGAAGGTGATGTGTAGAGTGGTTACAATTACATGTCAGGTATTGAGTACATTTTTTTTAACAATGTCACCCTCTCCCTCATTTTCTCCCAGTTTTTCCTCTCCAGACTTGCCTATCCCTCAGATTGTATAGTTCATTTCCAACATAATGTCTAGTGAGTATCACTGCTGAATTAATTCATTCTTTATCCCCCCCCACACACACAATTCTGTGCTTCTCCTTCCCCTCCCAAAATATAAACTTACATACAAGACAAAAGGTACAGAAATAAACAGCAATAAAAGGGTGGGGGCAGAAAAAAAATAACCATAAAAAGTAAAATTTAAAAACCCTCTTATAACATGACACGATTTCAAACCCGGAGACCTCATCCTTCCCAAGATGAAAGGTTATCCTCACTGGCCAGCTTGAGTAAGTGATTGGTAGCCTTTGACTTCACCATGCTCGTCTGCCTTCTCCAGGCCTGCTTTCCTTCCTAGCCACCCCCCTTCCTTTCCGATGTCCTTTTTTTCTCCCTTGCTTTTTCTAGTTAGTGCCATTGGGAACCTGTGGGGTTTTTTTTAAAGTTTTTCTTTTCCCCAGTAATCTCCCATGTAATTGTAAAATAAATAAATACATTGTACATCTTAACTACATACCTGTGCAAAAAAAAAATAAAAATAAAAACCCTCTTATTTCCACTTCTTGGATTTTGTTTCAATAAGCATTTTATGTGATCATATACACACATCTTTTGAGCCCTTGTGATCCTCTCCTAAGAATATCCTTTGGTGTTAATCTGTGAATGTTTAGAGTCCTGTTTAATCAATCATGACCGAGTGTAATTTTTTGCCTTTTACTATCCATTGGATTTACTTGTAGATTTATAGGCACATTCTAATTATTACAACTGAGGAAAACAATGCAACCTATGTTTCTTTGGGTCTGGCTTACTTTGCTTGATACAATTTTTTCCAAGTCTTACATATGGGGCAATGCCATTCTTTCTGATGGAAACATAGAGTGCCATTATGTATGTATACCACATTTTCTTGATCCATTCATTCACTGAGGGACATCTGGGTTGAGTCAGTATCTTAGCTATGGTAGTGAACATGCTTGTGCTGGTGGCTTTAGTGTGGCCAGGTTTGTGTTCTATTGGATAAATGTCCAGGAATGGCATTGCTGCATCATAGGGGAGCTCTATGTTTAGTGTTTTGAAGAACCTGTACTACTTTCCAGAATTGTTGAACGAGTTTACATTCCCACCAATAGTGTAGTAACGTTCCCTTTTGGCCACATCCCACCAGCATTTGTTATTGTTAGTTTTCTTGATAATGACCATTTTAACCGAGGTGAGGTGAAATCTCAGTGTTGTCTTGATTTACATTTCCTTTATGGTCAGAGATGTTGAATATTTCTTCATCTGTCTATTGACTATTCTTAATGCTTCTGCATTTTTCTTCCAAGAATTCTCTCTTTAAGTCTTTGAAGATTTTTTTGGCGGGGTTAATTTTTTGAGCTATAAGTATATTTTATATATAAGGCCTTTGTTGATGCATACCTAAAAAAGAACTCCCATTCTGTGGACTTTCTATTTATCTTGCTAGCTATGTCTTTTGCCATGAAGAAACTCTTCAGTTAATGCGATCCCATTTATCTGGTTTTTCTTAGATTTGTTATGATTCTGGATCTTAGCAAGTTTCAACCTGTGTCAAGGAGCCCTAGTGTTTTACTATCCCTTTCTTGTAATAATTTTTGTATATGGTCTTACATTGAAGTCCATTTGAAATTGATTCTGGTACTGGGTTATAGATAAGAATCTAGCTTCAGTTTTTCTGTACATTTATAGCCAATTCTGCCAGCACCATTTGTTGAAGAGGCCATCTTTCTTTCATCCTTTGTTTTTGGCTTCCTTATCAAAAATTAGGTAGCTGTAGGTCTGTGGGTTCATTTCTGGGTCTTCTATTCCAATAGTCCGCAGGCCTGTTCTTGTACCAATACCAAGCTGTTTTTATTACTAAGGCTTTGTACGAGTTTGAAGTTTGGTATTGATATTCTTCCAGCATTGTTCTTCCTGCTAAGGATTGTTTTTGCTATTTGTGGTCTTTTATTATTCCATATGAATTTTTGGATTGCTTCTTTCAAATGTTTTTGGGATTTTGATAGGTATTTCATTGAATTTTTAGATAGCTTTGGGCAGTTTTATCATTTTCATGATGTTAATCCTTGCAATCCAGGATCATGGAAGGTTTTTCCGTTTCCTTAAATCTGCTTTAATCTATGGGGTTCTTGAAATACAGGATAACTTATTTTTAAAGCTAGTAAGATTCTTATCAGATATCAACACACATAGAACGGTTCATTTGATGATGCCTTTATGGCCAAAGAAAGGCAAATAAGTTTGCAAAGTCGCTCAAACACTCTAGCAATAAATGCTCTCATACTGGTGGCAAAGACATCAAAAACCCCACCAACTGGTTTGGTTTGGATGCAACATGAGACCAAATCTGTGAGTTTTTTCATAGCTTTTTCTAATGTTTATTTTGACATTCTAAACTGACCATTCCAACTGACATTGTTTTTAGATTTATTAGCAAACACAGTTTAGATTAGAATATGTCATTATCCAGACAATAATTATGGAACCTGTCTGTTTCCATATATAGACCTGGCCAGAAGATAGAAGTTATCTGAAAGAACAGTGAAGATAAGCCCTTGCCCCCTTGGCATCTGATTAACAGTTTGATTTGTTATCATCTGTGGAGAAAGTGGTGATGCCCAAATAAAATAGACAAGAGTACTTTTCACTATGTATCTCAGCAGTGAACAGCCCAAGAAGAAAAATGGAAGACTCAGCAGCTGTGTTTAATCTAGTTCAGGCTAATACCAAAAAATTTTGCCCATGTAATCTACTAAAGATCTCCATTGAACTATACCAGATATACACCACCATTCATTCTCTCTCCTGCCTAACAATCCTTCAGTAACACTATGGCTCAGGCCCTGAGTTCAAACTCTGGTACCATTAAAGAAAAAAAAGCATCTTTTCAAACTCAAAAGAGTTTGAAATGATATACTTAATTTATTTTTCCAAATGTTTTCTATTTTATGAGTTCATTTATGGCAGTTGCTTCATGTTGATTTAGACAAAAGAACACCTGAAAGCTAAAATTTGTATGTCTAGTGAAAATTTAAATGATGAAAACATTAAAAGGGAGAAACCATTACATTGATGTTGACTGTTTAGATTTTTAGTTAAGTGATTCTTTTCCCATTTCATGATCAGGACATTAGAATATAATTAGGAAAATGCAGTGTCTTGGGGTGTGCAAAAACGTCTTCTGATATATGCCTTTTGTGAATGTGGTAATAATTTATTCCCATTTAAGATGGCTTTTGAAAGGTGATTGGTTGAATTTTTATTGCTTATAAATTTACTAATCAATTTTCCACTAGATTCTAAAAATGGAAATTTTAACTCTAAAATCAAACTATACAACCTGTGATTAAAATAACCACCTAGTAAGGGGAAAACAATGCTCACTACAAAATGTACTCATTACCCTACTGATATAACTGTAACCCCTCTGTACAGTATTTTTACAATAAAATATTTAAGAAAAAGAAAATAAATTAAAAAAGGAATTTTTTACCCTTCTTTAAAAAAAACCATAGTTATTTTACCTTGCAGTATCTTTTAGTTGTTGTATTCATCTTCTATATTCATTTTCTACCACTAATCTTCTTATAACTATTATTTTCATCTAACTTCTACTTTTAGCCATAGCAGTAAGACACCTTTACAAATATAAATACCTGCACAAGATGAAATTACTAAAATACTATAAACATTTTAAGACTTTTAAAACATAATTATAAGTAATATTGCTTTCTAGAATATTGATGCCAACTTCTAATTCTACTTGCTACAAATAACAACACAATATATTTTCTTTAAAAGAGGTCCATGCAAATAAGCAGGATAAAAACACACTAATAGTGAAGTAGAAGAATTGCTAAAAATAAGATAAATTAAGTTGAAATATCCGCATAAATATACATGAGTGAAATTAAAATTAAATGTATTTTAAGTATAATAAATATAATAAACTATTTTTCTTCAAAAGTATTCCAAGGTAAGACGCTAACATTAGAAAATAGATAAAGGGTATAAGAGAAAACTTTGTAAAATTTTTAAACTTTTTCATCATTCTAAGAGTTTTTTCAAAGCACGAGGTTAAAAAAAAATGTGCATACTCTGTAATCTCAGTACTCAGTACTTCAGAAGAGGAGTTTCCTATAGCTTGGAATGTATATAGCAAGACCCTATCTTGAAAATATTATTCATATAATGGTTGTGGAATCTTAGGTTAATCAATAATGTCATCATACTTGTGGATCTCCTGTGGATGAGCTGGAATACTCCCAGAAATCTGAATTGGAGCACACCTAACCAATTTTTTGAAGTCACACTTCTGATACTGAAAAATGAATATAAAGTATTTTCAATGAATTCTCTCATTTATTGTGCAGCTCTGTAAACTTGCTTCATATATCATGCTTTAATTTCAGTTAATCCTTCCTATAGACACTTGGAAGTAAGCAGTAAAATTATCATACTCATTTTATAGATATGGAAATCAAGGCAGAAATGTTGAGTAAGTCATCTAAAGTCAAACTCTAAAGTGTTTTACTTCAATTGGTTTCATTTATAGAGTATGTTCAGTTGGCAGAAATGGCTAACAGTTTGGGAATGAATGTTTGTCTTTATTTCTAGCTGTATATGGCGTTTCCTTTCCAACAGATGAACCCACAGACATTATTCCACGAAGTTGCCAACTCACAACAGATGTTCCACATGTCACGCAGCTGCTGAACATGACTAAACTCCGCCAAACAGAAATAAAATTTGAAGGTCATCCTCTCAGATCAGCAGAATCAGGTATGCTCTGAAGCAAATACATTGACAAGCATTATATGTTTACATTTCCCAGTGAAGTGTGCTTCCTCCAAAGATGTCACTGTACTTCATACTTGTGTATTGTTAGCGCAGAACTTGCCATATACCAGGCGAGAGGCTGTAATCTCATAGCACTACTGAAGATAGGAGGATAATAAATGAATACATTGGGTTTGGTGCTTTACTATGACATAAACAAGGCTTTCTACTTCAAAAGTGAGCTCACATGATGGAGGAGTTGAGAGAAATGAGATGTGCTTTTCAGAAAAGTACCTCTCCTAATACTGACAACAAAACTTTAAATTGTGAAAATGATTCAATAAATGGTAATTACTAATGTGCCCCTGGGAGGGAGCTGTAGGGAGTATAAGGGAATACAGACAATCAGTAGTTCATTTTCTAAGGGGTAACAGTTCAGTTTTAGCCAGTGTTGCCTTGTAAGAATACAAACGAATCTTATTAGATCTGACTTTTCTTTTTGTAAGAACTGGACATTTGAATGTTTATGGTACATTCCTTAATTTAAAAATATTGTCTAAGCCAGTGGCTCACACCTGTAATTTTAGCTACACAGGAGGCTGAGAGTGAGGATTACAGTTTGAAGCCAGCCTGGGCAGGAAAGTCTGTGAGACTGTTATCTGCAATTAACCACCAGAAAACTGCAAGTGGCTCTGCGGCTCAAAATGGTAGAGTGCTAAGGCCTTGAGCAAACAGAAAGCGCAGAGACATCACCATGCCCTGAGTTCAAGCCCTACACACCAACATCATATATATATACATATATGTATATAGTATATACATGTATATGTATATATATATATGTATATATACATATGTATGTATATGTCTAAAAAGTTTTGAAAAAATACTCCAGGAACCAAAAAAAATGCCAAAGATATCAGTGTTCTACTTATGGGATAGCATAACTGTTGATCAAATGACTGAACAGTAATCAAGAAATCTGACACTATTTCAGTTTCTCATGTTAGAATCACAGGAGACATTTAAAAACTATTGAAAATAAAAATAATTTTCTACTATCTGTATCTCTCAGAGATTCTGATTTAATTTGGCCCACAATAAGGTTTTGGACTTGTTTGTTTTGTTGGTTGGTTTTGGTTTGGTTTTTGGTGTTTAAACTCGCCTAGTGATTCTTATGTACTTTACTGTTAACATTGAAAACTATTAGATTACTCAATCCCACAAAGGTCTTGTATTCAGATGACACAAACACTGAAGTAATTCAGCGGAAGGTAAAAATGAAAGTCATAGCCGGGTGCTGGTGGCTCATGCCTGTAATCCTAGCTACTAATGAGGCTGAGATCTGAGGATCACAGTTCAAAGCCAGCCCGGGCAGGAGAGACCTTGAGACTCCTATCTCCAATAATCCAGAAAACCGGAAGTGGTGTTGTAGCTCAAGTGGTAGAGCGCTAGCCTTGAGCTGAAGAGCTGAGGGACAGTGCCCAGGCCCAGAGTTCAAGCCC